CCGGGGGGGCCGAGGCGGGGCCGGGGCAGGGGCTGGAGGGCAGTGCCTGCGGGCAGCGCTGCGGCGGCCGGGAACGGGGCGCCCAGGGGCTCCCAGCGCTGCCCCCCGGTCCCCAGCCCTGGCTGCCCCCGGGACACCGAGCGACGCGTCGCGTTTCCTTAGGGAAGCCCCTTTGTCTGAGGGGCACGGCCGCCGTGGGGCACGGGGTGCCAGAGAATGGGAAAAGGAAGAATAATTTTCTCGGTTTCCAGGATATAATTACAATCCTTAATTTTTAATAAGGCGGTTTATGATGTAGGTTTCATCGCTGACAGTTACCGCAGAAAATAAAACAGGAACCGTGCTAGAAAATAACAGAGCTGCTGGTTTGAATACTAGCTCCATCTCCCTTCCCTTACTTTTGGGGGGGTTATGTTAATTTGCAAGGGAAAACAAATGATTGGAAAGTAGTTCTGCATTTTGATAGCTAGATATAAATTTAAGCTGAGGATGAATTGGAAGTTTATGGTGGTAGTACCCTAATAAACCACACTTTTATAACCTTGCATGGAAAAACAATCTAGTAGAATATTACAGCAGCAGTGCAAAGATGTATGTGGACATAGGAAGGTACAAACTATGTGTTTGGTGACAGTATTTCTTGATTGTCTTAAAATATTGATTTAATTGTTTTTCACATGGCCTTTTAGATACTTTTCACCGATTTTGCTAGACTGAAATCCAGGTCAAGTGTGATGACACTCTGGAAGTTTACCAATTCACTGTAAGTTAAATAAAATACCCTTTACAAGTTTAATAATAATAATAAAAGTAAAAATAAAATAATGCTTAAATTTCAGTGTGTCTTTTAGATTCTCAATGTCCTGTTTCAGGATCTATTTGTGAATCAAAATGTAAAAATATTTTCTTAGTCCTTTTGTGCTACAGGCAAACTTTATAAATCAACCAAGTGGAATAAATAGCTTTTCCTTAGTGACTGCATGTAAATATCGCTAGCAAACAAAAGCAAGGACTGTGTATTTCCATTTGTTGGATATTTATTAAAGTGGGACACAAAAACTGGTTCAGAAGAATGATACAATCGCCTGTATTAATTTGAAATCGAGCAACTTCAAATCAAAGTATGAAAAATAGATTTGGATAAGAAAAGCAGATTAATTGCAGGAAAGCTGGTCTGTGTTCCTTATAGGTACTGAGAAAAAGGTGGTGGTTGTTTTTGAATACGTATATAAGCTACTCTAGCATTAGTCCATTGGTGTATTTAAGCATATTGTTAATTTAAATCAGGTGATTAGGTTCAGTCTGCTTAAAGCTAAACATGTTCAGGTGCTCAGATGAAACGGCTACTATGAAGAGACTTGCAAATCTGCTCTTTCAGGTGCTGTTCTGTATAACAGTAGAGACAGTGACTTTTGAAGGAAAAAAAATAATTTCTGATGCACTTGCAGGAGAAAAAGGAGAGGTGAGCTTTCAGGCATATGAGTCTTGAAGAAACTCTCAAGGTTATGCTTTAAATCTTTTCAAGCTTTCTGGCGATATTAGGTGATCTAATGAAAGTTATTAGTCTTCCTTATCTCCCCTTCTAGGCTGAGGGAAACATTGCAGGTGAACTTTAGCTGACAAGCAAAGGCAAACTGTCTTGGGATCCGTTGTGGATAATGACCCAAATTTAGTACTCTGATCTATTCTGGGACTGTCTAATTTCTCGTGTGCAGATATAAGGAAATGAAATGAGGCCATGTGTAGTAAAGAATGAAGTAGTTAAGTTGAAATTTACAGGAGCCTGAACAAGATGAATTATCGAAGACTGGTATAAATGTATTCTTGTATGAAATGTACAGCACTTGATGTATAACATAAGGTTATGAAAAGTGTATTTGGGTGCCTCAGCATCTGGCTATTTTCCAAATCCTGCAAGGGCTCGCTAATGCTTTGCTGTGTCCTGCAGGTGCTCCGCTGAAACCAACTGACACAGCACTGGGACATGTAAGAGCTTGTGGGACTGTACAGGCTATGTGATCTTATACCTTGTTGTATGAAGGTAGGCTGAGTTAGGAGGGGAACAAAAAGGAAAAGACAGTGGGGGAGTTGCAGGCCCTGTGGAAGCTCAGGCTGCAGTTAAACTCAAGACCTGAGTTTCTTTCGTGGGTAAGGATCTGCTGTGGCACAAGCTGAACATTTTGGCTGTGTTTAAATGTACAACCCTGCCCTTTTATGTGAGAGGGGCTCTGTGATGTGCATGTTTTGCCCAATTATCCACTGAATTCACTTGACAGACTTCCGAGTAAGGTTTGCTGAAAAGCCTTTAATGAACTGGAACTCTGGATGCTTAAAGGCTGTTATCTATATCTTAATGTTTTCATTTCTGGGTATGTTTGCAAACTATTTTGGAAAAAAAAACTAACAAAAAAACCTCAACTGTCAATATACATGAGTAACTAGGCAAGTAAGTTTTTTCTGTTACATGGAAACAGCATATCAAAGTAAGATACTTGTGTATGCAAGATTACACCTTAGTTTCAGTAATTTTCAGCATCCTAATAAAGTGTGAGTACTTTGCACCATTTGCTATGTGCATGAAGTTAGGTACTTTGTTAAACCCTCTAAATGCCTAACCCTTCCTTACAGATATCTGGTGTTAATGATTACATTGATTGGTGATAATAAGATACTTCTGAGTTGCAGGCTACGTCTGTTATAACCTTCACATCTGATCATAAGGTTCTTCATTGGTTAAAAAGCTAACACCTTATTATAAAACAGTGCTGTTACTTTGTATAAGCAGATTTGGTTTTGCTTCAGTAGTCAAGTACAGTAGGACATCATACTTCTGTAGGGCATTCATGAAATCAAGGGTTATAATTTGAAAAGCATTTGCTTGCAAATACCATATCTTTAAATGACTTTGCCCAAGGAGAAAAGGAAATCCAGGCTAGCAACAAAATAGGTAAATACTGTTAGCATTTTATCACAAGCTTCAAGAACTCCTCAAGGCATCAACTTTAGAAAAAAGAGGAAGAGATTATGGGGAGGATATTTATTATTACAAACCATAAAGTCAACAGGGACTGCTAAACGTTCTTACAGTCATAATAGCCTATCTCATGTTAATTCTAGCCTGAAGCTCTGTGACTTTTTATGTGCAAAGATAATAGGGGGTAAACCTGTATTTTTAGTTTAGCAGCAGATTCCTCCCAACCATGGAAAATAAATTAGAGAGCTTTGCAAACTAAAAATGACTTGGGCTTTGAAGGAATTCCCAGCAATAATATACAAGACTTATTACCCTGGGTAGTTAGAGGGTCTCGTATGTTTGTGGCTGATAGTAGTCAACTTGATTGAACATTGCCTCAGTAACTTGTTTTCAAACAATTTGCCTTTAACTCAATTCTATTGATCCTAAAAAGAGGACCTTTTTGGTAATGTTCTTATTGTTTGTATTTCCTATGTGTACCTTAGATAAAATTTATTGTATGTTTCCTAGGCAAAGTGCTGCATTAATGGTAAAGTTGTTACATTTCACTTAGGTGGAATTCACAGCACATCAAGACCTATGTTAAATAGGTTTGTATTTGAGAATGTGTATACTTCCCCCCCCTCCCCCCAAATAAGATACACTACTGTTGTTCTAAAATACTGTATTGCAAACATAGGAAATTCAATTTAAGGTTGTAATTGTTCATTATTTGTTTTATGTTATTATCTAGGAGCATGACTGCTTTGGGTGAGGAATGATATAATGGTGAAAGAAGCCCACTCCATCCCCCTGATAATGTATTGTCCCAATACAGTAAGAAATAATATGTGAACATCAACACACTGGACAGTGCAAAAGAGACCAGAAGCTCCCTCAAAGGTTGTATATCGGTGTTGACGTAAAAAGTTGATAAGCATTTGAAGGAAG